GAAGGTACTTAAGGAGTACATCGATGATAACCTAGCGAAAGGATTCATCAGACCATCCACATCACCAGCAGGAAGTCCGGTGCTTTTCGTACCAAAGAAAGACGGCTCCCTATGGTTATGTGTGGACTATCGAGCGTTGAACAACATCACAATCAAGGACAGGTATGCCCTGCCGTTAATCAATGAACTACACGATAGATTTCAAGGAGCAAAGATCTTCAGTAAGCTAGATCTGCGAGGAGCATACAACCTGATCCGAATCAAGGCTGGGGAAGAGTGGAAAACAACATTCCGCACCCGCTATGGCCTATTCGAGTATCAAGTCATGCCCTTTGGGCTAACAAACGCACCCGCATCCATGCAACGACTGATGAATGATGCTTTGCATGAATACTTAGACATCTTTACCATTGTCTACCTAGATGACGTCCTGGTGTATTCAGCAACCAAGGAGGAGCATGTCAAGCATGTCAAACTCGTCCTGAAGAAACTAAAGGAGTACAGCTTACTCCTCAAACCAGAGAAGTGCGAGTTCCATAAAAACCAAGTCGAATTCTTGGGTTACATTATTGGAACGCACGGCATCAAGATGGACCAAGCAAAAGTAACGGCAGTGTTGGAATGGCCAACACCGACCATGGTCAAGGAAGTGCAAGCCTTCCTAGGCTTCGCCAACTTCTACCGAAGATTCATCTCGGGATATTCCAAGGTAGCTCAACCACTCACGGAGCTTACCAGAAAGGATCTCGAATTCAAATGGACGGACAAGGCAGAGGCTGCTTTCCAGGAACTTAAGACGAAGTTCACGGAAGCACCTATCCTTGCTACATTTGACCCTGCAAAGAAGATCATCCTCGAAACGGACTCTTCTGACTTCGCAATTGGAGCATGTCTGAATCAACCAGACGAGAACGGTAAGTTCAAACCAATTGCGTACTACTCTAGGAAACTGTCACCCGCGGAACTTAATTACGACATCCACGACAAAGAGCTACTGGCTATTGTCGTTGCCTTTGAGCAGTGGCGAGTATATCTTGAGGGATCCACCTACCCTGTGCAGGTATGGACGGATCACAAGAACCTCATATATTTCACCACGACCAAGGTTTTAAACCGCAGACAAGTCCGCTGGGCAGAAACCCTCGCAGCCTACAACTTCACGATAACCTATCGCAAGGGCTCCGAGAATGCAAGAGCAGACGCTCTCAGCAGACGGACCGACTACGCCGGCCCAAAGGAAGAAAGACCTAGAGCAATTCTGAAGAAAACAGATGCAGGAATACAGTACAACGAGTTACTAGCGACGATCTCAGTCATCGAAGATACAGAACTCGAGGAAAGACTCAAGAAAGCTTACGCAACAGATGAATGCGCCAAGCGAGTCTTGTCCAAAGTCGAAGGCGACTTCGCCATCGACGAACAAGGATTGATTCGATACAAAGGGTTAGTGTATGTCCCAAGTCAAATGAGACGCCCGCTGGTGCAAGAACAACACTCGTTACCAGCACACGGTCATCAGGGAGTAACACGAACCTTCGAACGAATCACCCGACACTACTACTTCCCAGGTATGAGGAAGCAGGTAGAGACAGTGGTAAGAGAGTGCGACATTTGCAGCAAGTCAAAATCCAATAGGCATCTGCCATACGGACAACTCAAGTCGACACCAGTACCAAAAGGAGCGTGGAAATCAATAGCTTTGGACTTCATCGTCAAGCTTCCACCCTCCAAGTGTCATACTGACATTCGTTGCACTCAGTTTGCTATCAAACTCAAGAGCAAACTTAGAAATCTCCTCCTCAAACCTACAAGTCACCATACATATCTTGGCTTATCACACCAACAACAGAAGCAATACTACTCAACGATTGCTGCAAACTCTTCTACTACATCTGTTTATGCTACATACATCACGGCATATCATTTGAACACTCATTGAACAAGTTATTAAGAAAATCTCCTCCTTAAGGGGGTGGGCCAATACTACCACATGGCATATATCTACCAACTAGAGGCCTAGGAACATGAACGATAGCTCTAGAAGCTTCTACAACCCTCTATGATTCATTACACGTCATCGCTCCTTAGTTACCCACAAGATTGGTTAAGTTATGACATAATTTGTCTATAGGTACTCTGACCTTGGACCTCCTTTTCACTTCCTATAGGCTAGGAACCCAAGAGATGGTTCTATGGGATTCTCTTACGTTCACTACATGATTAGCAAGCTAGTTGTGGGTCGCACTTGATTTCTAATACATTTACCAAGCCTGGTTAGTCATGGAAAGTCATGGAAAATGAGAGAACTACACTCCTTTGGCATAAATAGGATTGCCCTTTCCTTAAGAAAGGGCAAGCAGGCAATACAGTAAATCGACTAGCACATACTTCCACGTCTTTTACAAGCTTCCAAGCATTGATCTTGTTATTCTCTGTTTTTGAAAAGTCAGTGAGGTGCTAACCTCTGACTTACCCCTGAGTTCTCAGACTCAACATTTGTTGCAACTTGTCTAAACCACTTCACCACATCATACACCTGATTGCTGCGTTGTGGAATAGTCTAAGCTACAACCCTTTGGCTCTGTTTCCTAAGACAGTGTGTTGTCTTAGTAAATTCATCCCTTCCTTGGGTGGCTAGATTCTCATATCTGGTGCACCCACCATTACATGCACCCACCATTACATGCACCCACCATTACATGCACCCACCATTACATGCACCCACCATTACATGCACCCACCATTACATGCACCCACCATTACATGCACCCACCATTACATGCACCCACCATTACATGCACCCACCATTACATGCACCCACCATTACATGCACCCACCATTACATGCACCCACCATTACATGCACCCACCATTACATGCACCCACCATTACACCAACCCCTAATTCAAGATGAGTATATGAAGTATTACCAAGCAGCAATTACCCTAGAGTGTAACGCTCGGGATTGGTGGATGGAAGGAGCTTAGCGGACAGCATATCCAAATCTTCAAAGGATGGCACTCAACATGTTATCGATACCTGCAATGAGTGCTGAGCCTGAACTTCTATTCTTAGGGGCAAAGATTCAATCACAGATCGAAGGAATCGATTAGGAGTTGATACTATTGAGTATTTAGAGTGTTCGAAGTCATGGCTTCATGTTACAAACATTCCATGGAGCGACGAGTAGTACTGTCATTTCAATATGTCAGTTGGGCTATCACATATGGTACTATTATCTCCTGCTTTAAGAATACAGTACAATAACATGTGATATTATATATGGAACTAATCACTTGATTTATATTGTTTTTCTTCAATATATGACTGCAATATATGATATTGCCAAGCTTTATTAGCGTTATATGATTGTAATGCAATATGGTCTTCTGCCATATGATTGTAATACAATATGGGAATTCATTCCAATATATTGCCAAGACGCACTATTGGCAACACTGACTGACCCCCCGGCCATAGCGAACAACACAGAACCATCATCCCAAATCAGCCTCCCATACCCTCAAGGCATTTCCAATCCCCATCCAACCCCACATCATGTCCACAACCACCCCCTCCGACCCCTCGCCATCCCCGGCTTCCCCCAACTACCCCGCCTTCCAAATCCACCATGGAGACCAAGACACTACCACTAACGGCCAACGTGGCGAGGATCCTACTCCTCCTCCGAAGTCTTCAACGACGCCGACACAACTTGGATGATCCCTAGATCGTACTGCCACTGCAGCTTCACGAGTACGACGATCTGATTGTCCGTATTGAGAAAAATGAAACTCTTTGGGGATGGGTGTATGACAAGTTGACGTTCGTATATGGCACTGGTGACGCTGTCATCAGTGGTTCACATGCTTACTTACTATCTTAGATTCAGCTACGATTCCAGAACAAGCACCTTCGTCCTACGGAGGCCCGTAACTGTGCATCAAGCATTCAAAATCCGGGTAGACTCCTGGATAAAAGACAGATTAGACGCCATAGCGGACAGAGATGCTCAATCGAGGCTGTTTGTCCAAGACATAGCCGCCTGTGGATCTGCGAATTTACTCATCGAACCCCCAAGCTATGAACGCGTGGTCATCCATCACAACCCCGACTCCCAGTTCATGTATATAGGCACATGCTGGCCGACTGTCGTCATTGAGCTCGCCAACTCATCCACTCTGCGTCATTCTGCGAATTCCTCGGTATAATGGATGAGTCGGAGAGAAAAAGTGCTGCTGGCGAACTCATTACATCGTCCCGCTGGATGAATTGTATGGAGAAGAGCCGCGAGAGGACGCCGGAGCCGGTGGAGGTGTATGAGGAGGATGGGTTGTGTTTGGGTAGGAGGAATTGAGTGTTCATGCGAGGTTTTTGGATCGGCGGGTTCGTACTGGGAAGGTGGGTGAGGAGAGTGAGATGGTGGAGAGAGAAGATCGAGTGAAATGAGATATGAGGTTGACGGGAGAAAAATGGGAGAGGGGTGATTTCAATCAGAGGTGCACGAAGTGCTGGTGTTGTCGCCATAACGAGGTTCTTGAGGCCTCTCAGTAACACGGACCAATTTGTTCATCATCTGAAATCTTGGGAAGGGTATGTGGGGAGGTGATCGGGAAGATGAAGATTGAGTAGAGAAGGGCAGAGAGAGAGAGATATTGAGACTTGTAAAAATACCTTTTCGCAAATTCGGATAGTGGTATATATATGACATGTCGACACAGGTGTTAAGATCCGAAAACATGACTGTTGCTGATATTTCGAACCGGCCATCCTGGGCCTTCCACCCCTCATCACGCCTCACAGAGCCATGCATGCACACACGTCCAGAGACATCACACAATCGCATCAGCATCATCATCAGTCATTAGCGAATCAGTAGATTTTGCAATGCCTCAAAGTGCCGCGGTCCGACCCAGCTTGCGACATTTCCGTCCAGTTGTCCCATCGCCCGCCTATGCAAGAACACTGACACGCTTCCATGCCCACAAAAGCAATAAGCATTTAGAACACCAAAGCCTGGCCCTTAGTCTTCTTGTCACCACTATCGTATTGTCAGCATTGTTCGTCGCCATCAACGGGGGGAGGGAGCCGTACCCCAGCTCGAAGTGCTTGCAGCGCTTCAACGACAATTGCGCCTTGGTCTTGCAGCTCGTGCACTCGAGACGAAGCACAACCTTCTTAGTGGTCTTAGCCTTCTTGTGGAAAACGGGCTTGGTCTGTCCTCCGTAACCGGACTGCTTCCTGTCGTAACGACGCTTTCCCTGTGCGAAGAGCGAGGCCTGGGAGAATGGGGTGTTAGTGGTGGGAGGTTTTCGCCGCAGGTGCGGGATGGATGGGGTCGTGAATTACCTTTCCTGCCTTGTATTGGGTAACCTTGTGCTGGGTGTGCTTCTTGCACTCCTTACCCTTGCAGTAGGTGCGTCTGGTCTTTGGGATGTTGACCTGGGAGGGAATGTTAGTTTGTGGTCGGCGGGGATTTCTCGCTCGTTGTATCTCGTGCTCTAGATGCTCGCAGTCGTCGTGGCTCGAGGGCTTCGGGGATGGAGGGAACGAGAGTCTGGTGAAGGATTCGCAGTGTCCTTGTTTCTCTGTCATGCAAGCCGAATGCCCGTGGGCGTCGTGTGGTTCATCTAGTCAATTCGTCTCGAACCAGTACCATTTCTCTCGTCCCGCGCAACATGCGTATCGAAGCCATCAGAGCCGTCGGACAGAGCATCCAGAGGAGAGATACACCGGTATGAGCAGGGCAAATTTATCACGTACCATCTTGGCGATTTCAAGGTTGTCGTGAAGTTGCTGAGTATCGTGCCGTCGCTGTGAGCAATTTCGACGAGGAATATCGCGAATTGTCGATTTGTGTGGGATTAGCTAATATCGGGTCTAACGAGATCGGGTCAAGCGATAGTGTGAGTAATGTAATTTGTAATTTATTGTGATCACGTGCATTGGAGTATTATACCTTACATATAAGGCATGGTATATGTGTCTTGGCATCAGCGGCAGAAGAATATGGGCGTTTGCCCTGACATACGAAGGATTTAAGCCTATGTCGACCTACAAATGCTGACTATAACACAGAGTTATTAGTTGACGATTTAGGATGTATATATCAGAAATCGCTGGCAAGGAAGGAACTCTTTGAGGCATTGGGGGGGGAACCTGTAGGGATGCTGCATACGACTACAGCAGTAGATGCTCCAGACATACAATATTGCGGACGGGCTAGGAGCATCTTAGAGTACTTGTTACTCTTCTACTCTACGCAGTAATCTTAGAAGTCAACGATCTCTGTTAAAACATGCTAACACAGGTACTAGGTACATACAGAACATTCAAAAACCATGTTGAGATCGACACGTTTCATGGTACCCATGACTTACTCCGTTTTTTCGTTCTTCTTTTATGGCCAACAACCCCCCAGCCACAATGAGACCTCGCGCCTCGCTTCCACCAAAAATTGCTTCGGAACGACCTGTTGCCGATGCGGTGTGGGATACCCAACTCCTAGTGCGAACGCACCTCGACCAACTCCCCTCTCACCCTGCTTACTACCCTACCTCCCGGCCCTAGATCCCGTGTCTAGCTATTCTTGATCAATGGAAATGGAGAGATATGCCCCCGTCATTATGCGCTGTCCAAGCTCACATTCCCAATTCCTCGATCCATAGTGGACGCAGAGGTTTCATCTTCATCTTGACTATCTATCATCCCCTTTCCCTCTCCGTCCGAGTCTCTCTGCATAAATCCCCTCCTAAGAATCTCGGGGAATTTACTTTGATCCACACTCACCGACTGAACGGCGCGCCCCACTTCCCGAGCGACTACAACTAAAGCTCACCAGTCCCGCCAGGACCCGTGCCTCCAGATCAGACTGAACAAACGGCTGTGTGGCCGAAGAACGCCGCCATGGTCTCCCTCCTGGTGATGCTAGCTGCGCTGCCCCTTTACTGGGCCTTCTCAAAATTCACACGCTTCTGCCGTAATCTGAAGGACGCAAAGAGCACCGGTCTGCCATATGTCATTCAACGTATGTCTAGTCCCTTCTCACCAACTGAGCCAAGCTGACAATGGTGCGGTCCAGCCATCTACCCTATCACTCTGTTTTGGATAATAAGTGGTAAATTATGGTTAAAACTGATCAACAAGACATGGCCAGACAAGTGGCACAAGAGCTGGTCCAAGTATGCTACTGCCCACGTTATGAGAAACGCTCTCGGTAGCTGACCACCGGCGTAGATTCCTTTCCCCAGACTGGTCGTGGAATGAACTGTACGAGGACCCTCGTGAGCTGGGCGCGGACACCTTCATCACTGTCTCGCCCGTCAACAACATGCTCTGGTCCGCCGATTCCGATGTCATCCACCAGATAACTACACGCCAGGCCGCCTTCCCCAAGCCCATCAAGAGCTATAAGGTCCTTGACATCTACGGCCGCAACGTCGTCACCACCGAGGGCCCAGAGTGGCGCATGCACCGCAAGGCCACGGCGCCCGGGTTCAACGAAAAGAACAACTCGCTTGTCTTCACGGAGTCGGTGGCGCAGGCACAGGGCATGATCAGGAAATGGATGGACGGCAACGAAAAGAGTAGTCGTACGCTGAACGATATCCCGGCTGATTGTATGCGCGTGGCGTTGCACATTATCAGCGCTATGGGGTTTGGTGTTAGGTTGCTGTGGCCGGGAGATGCATTCAGCACCGGAGACAAGGACTCGGGGCTAATTCATATGGGTGATAAGCCTTTGGGGGAGCATACGATGAGCTTTGAGAAGGCACTATCTACTGTTCTGGATGACATATTCATTCTAATGTTGACGCCGAGGTGGCTTTTGAGTAAGTGACCCATGTCCATCGGAGTAGTTATAACTGACAGTCGTAGAAATCGCGCCAGTGAAGAGGGCGAAGCGGGCTTGGGAATCATACAAGAACTGGAAGCTGTACATGGAGGAACTCCTCGAGAGGAAAGTGGAAGCTGAGCTCGCGGGCGAGAAAACGCTAGGCATGGATATCATGGGCGCATTAGTCAAGAGCGCGGCCGACGCAGACCGACCCGACCAAAAGAAGGCGCCAGGCCAACTGGAATCGAACAAGGACAAGCGAGGCCTCACCGACGAGAACATCATCGGCAACTCCTTCGTCATGCTCCTCGCCGGCCACGAGACCACCGCCAACACCATCCACTTCTCCCTAATGGAGCTCGCCATGGCCCCGAGCTCGCAGCGCAACCTCCAGAAGGAAGTTCGCACCATCTTCGGCGACTCGGACCCGAAGACGTGGGACTACGCTTACAGCGTCAATAACCTGCTCGGTGGAATGGTGGGCGCCACCATGAACGAGATGCTGCGCCTAATGCCGCCGGTTACTAATATCCCGAAGTCGGTCAGTGCCAATCAGGACCAGACGATTGTGGTGGATGGGCAGAAACACACGTTGCCGAAGGGACTGTACATCAACTTCAACGTCGTCGGCGCCCATCGCCACCCAAAATGCTGGCCTAGCAGGGGTGTGTCAAAGGTAAGTGGCAAGTCGGACGACCTGGATGATTTCATCCCAGAGAGATGGCTCAGAAAGGACGCGGCAAATCATATCGAAGAGGACTCGGAAGAGGAGGGTTTTGGCGGCTTCACGGGCAAGACGTCGTCTGCGCAGCTCTTCCGCCCCCCGCGCGGCGCTTTCTTGCCCTTCTCTGACGGGCCGCGGTCGTGTCTCGGGCGCCGCCTGGCGCAGGTCGAGTTGATCGCCCTGTTGGCTGTCATCTTCCAGAAGTACTCCATCGAGCTCGCCGTTGATGAGTGGGCGACCGATGAGGAGGTGGCTAAGATGGGCGTGCCGGACAAGCTGGAGGTGTATGCCAAGGCGGCGAAGAAGGCGAGGGAGATTATTAGGACGGCATCGTCGATGATTACGTTGAAGTTGAATTTTGGACAGACTTATATCCCGGCAAGGCTGGTGAAGAAGGGGGAGGAGCGATTTATTCGGTATATTGAGTAAGCTATCTAGTGGACTACGTGGGATGGAAGTTGGTATGGCATAGGTATTAGTTGCTGTATACTTAAATGATGAATGGTGGGAATAAATACGAATATTAAAACACTACTTTGAAGTTTTTGAAATATGAGTGGATTAAATTTATTGTTATGATAAATAAGAAAATAATGGTGGAACAATTAAATTTCTGACAATGGAGCACAACAATGGAATTGAAACAAACGCCGACTAATCACGGTACATATTACAATCCCACGATACAATCAAAAAATCAAGCAAGGGATTAATTTACAACTTAACCTTCTGAAGATTAATTTCTCCCGATCGCGCCTTCCGCCAGACGTCAGCATACGTTAGAGTCACGTGGCTTCCTCACCGTTGCAATCTGGCGCTAAAACGCGATTGTTATGACAACAATCGGAGCCTGCCATCCGCAATTATCAACAACACACATACCCATCGTACTATTGCAACCCGCACGTACCTCCCTCCCACAACCACCAACTCCATAAAAAACTGCCGCCAACACTTGCATCGCAATCGCCTCAAATCCGCGACCACAAGCATCCGCGTCGCTACCATGTCCTCGTCCAGCTTCCTCCAGAAAATGCGCAAGGCGCAGCTCGAGGAGCTCGCATCCGACCTAGACCTGAGGTGCGCTTTCCCTCGCCGTGCCGGCGCCGTCGCGCGCGCGCAAAATATATCTATAATACAACTATTGTATAGAATGTACTGACGCGAACCACCAGCCCGAACGGCCAGAAGAAGGCGGATCTCGAGATCTTGATCGACTCGTTTCTAAGCCAACACCCAGAGCTGTCCACAGACGCGCGCGTCGCGCCCTTCTACAAGCGCCGCTCGACCAACGAGCTCTCCCCCGTCAAGAAAGAGCAAGTCGCAGCAGAGGAGAAAGTCGTCAAAGTCACCAAGCGACGCGCCACAAAGGCCGCTGACGAACTCTCAAACTTGGTGTAAGAACCCCCCTCCCCGACGCGTCGCACCCCTCCAAACCACCTACCGCGATAAACAAGAAACTGACATCTCACCCCTCACAGTGACGACTCTGACATCGAGCCCGCAACCACCCGTGCCCGCTCAGCTTTAACCCGCACCCCCGCGCGCGCTCTCTCCCTCGCGCAATCCGTCCCCTTTCCCCCCTCCCCCTCCGTCGTCGCCGATGTTCTCGAGCGCCGCACCGCAGCCCTACGCTCCCAGGTCATGGAAGTCGCTGTCTCCACAGGCGCTGCCGAAGCCGTTGAGTCCGCGCGGGCCTCGCTCTCGAGCCTCCTCAGCATCGAGACGATAATCCTCTTATTCGAAGCCGCGAACCTCCGCTCCGAGATCCTCCCAGACCGCTACGCGTTCTCCATCCCCGCCCTGCCGATGCTGAACAGGAAGCCCTACCCAGTCTCGCTACCGGACTTGTTCCTCCTCCTCACCTCGAGCTTCTGGCAGCCATTCACCCTCTGGCTCGCTACTGCTCTCGTCGTGCCGTTGGCGTTCGCGTACTTCTTCAACCTTACCGCTCGCCCCCGCTCCCGCGGCACACAAAGGTTCGAGTACCAGTTCGACCCGCTCACCTTCAACGTTGCCAAGGCGATTATCACCTACGCCGTCTTTTCCCATGGCGCCACCTTCTGGGGTCTCGTTGATCCCGAGCCCGTCGCGCGCATTCGCTCTGCCGCGGCGGGAGGATGGGAGGGCATTGTCGGCGGCTGCGCTGTGGGCGCGTTGGCGACAATCTACGAGGCTATTATCCGGAAGTAGACATCTGTCTGCTGTCCGCCTGTCTGTCTGTTTGTTTGGCGCCGGCGAGTCCTCTTTGAAGGTCGATTGATGAAAATACTCTTGTTCTGCTTATGCGACTCTATTTCAATTCCCGCTGCTTTCTACTGTTTTCTCTTCGTTGCGGCTATGTCGCGGTACCGCGGCCTCCCCCGCCCTGTCGCCTTCCTATACCACAACTACACATACCTACTTTATTCCATAGGGGCTGGGCCGGCGCGAGGCGTTTTGGAGTCAGGTTTTGGGGGGGTGGAATGTGTATATGAATGATGTGGCCTGCTTGGGAAGCCTTGATGGGTCTTGTTTTTGGGTCCTGTGTCTATGCGGGTATACTGTTTTTGTTTGGCTTTTTTGGATTATCTCTAGTTTTTTCGTGTTTTTTGCGTGATTAAAGGGGGGTTGGTTTATGAGGGAATAAGTGGGGATGGTAGGATAGAGAATGGCGTGGGAGAGAAGCGCGAATCGTCCTAGCTATTCAAAAATCCAAGAAACTTAGCCGTTGCTCTACTGAAAAATTCTATAGAGTACCTTACTCGACACTTTCCGACAGGATGGCTAGCCGAACACATCGACGTGAAGCTAAGGCAAATTGTCTTAAATTGACTGAGCTAGAGGAGGGAGTAATTATTCGAGATATATTTAAGCTAGATGCAAGAGGATTTGCGCCCTAGCTAGTGTAGCAAATTATATCCTAGAATCGCATAGGGGACAACGCGTTAGCAAGATCTAGGCACATCGATTTGTACAATGACGTCTAGAGTTAAAGGCGCATTTTAATCGCGCGTACGACTTTCAAAGGGCCTTATGCGAAGATCCAAAAATTAGAGCATGGTTTCAACTAGTAGAGAATATACAGGCAAAATACGGCATTTAAGACTGTGATTTCTACAACTTCGACGAAACAGGCTTCATGATAGGCATTATTTGCCTAGCTATGGTTGTTACATACGCCGATCGACGCTCCTTACAACTAGATTCTAATAGTACTATAGTACTGTTAGTTACACCAAAATCAGGGCGTCATAAACGAACTTCATGGATTTGGCAACATGATAGGAATCCTTTGCAACATACTAACAAAATGGGCACTTAATGTGGCAATGTTCATATTGTACAAAGCAGTATAGAGAATCAGGTGGTACTGTGGCACTAGCGAAACACTTGATGGATTTACACCAAGTGACAGATACTTAGAAACGGTCACAAGTCAAGAACATGCAAATGAGTATCTCTAGTGCTCTGCAAAATGGACTCTATAATCCTTATACATGGCGACGATACTAACCTCCTAAAGACTACTGGGGTCGAAAAGGGGCGCAATTTCCACATGACGCTAGACGCCATGACAGCGTTCGACGCGCTTAAGGCCCGGTTCACCACCGCCCCGATGCTGCGACACTACGAGCCCGAACTGCCGACGCAGGTAGAAACGGACGCCTCGGGGTACGCCGCGTCGGGTATCCTGTCGCAGCTATTCGGGGCCGGACCGGAGGCGAAGTGGCACCCAGTCGCTTTCTTCTCCAGGAAGTTCTCCCCTGTGGAGCTCAGGTACGACACTCACGACAAGGAACTCCTGGCCATCGTCCTGGCTATGGACCACTGGGGCCAGTACCTCCGGGGCGTCACGAGGCCGGTACGGGTACGGACTGACCACAACAACCCCGATACTTCATGACCAAGAGGAGCCTAAACGGACGGCAAGCACGCTGGGCGGAGTCGCTCGCCCGCTACGATTTCTACATCGAATACCGCCCCGGCAAGGCCAACCCTGCGGACGGGCCGTCGCGGAGACCGGACTACCAGCCCCTCGACGACCCTACCCTTGACCAACACTTACCTGGCCTACACTTCCGTCTATGTAGCGGCCCCGAGACGGCTGCGGACTTGCCGCCACCTCTAATCGCGGTAGGCCGCCAACGAGGAACGAACCAACTAAGCGCGAAGCTAGCAGTCAGCTTGGAACAACCTAGTCCGACCGCGGAGGCGGCGCCGTTACGGCGCCAGGACACGAACGCCATCGTCGCGGGAGAAAGACCCTACTCGCCCTCAGGGGCGACGGTAAGAGAGGCTCTCCTAGAACTGCAGTCCCGGGATGACTTCGTCACCCAACGGGCGGCAGCCCCGCACTCGATGCGGCGACCCCGAGAGGCCGCCTTGTGGACGACAGGAGAGGACGGCTTACTCCGAAGGAAGGGCGCCATATACGTCCCCGATTCGCCACCGATGCGGGCGGAACTACTAGCCACGCACCACGACGACCCTCACGCCGGCCACTTCAGTTTCGCCCGCACCCAGGAGATGCTACAACGGAAATACTGGGTGGGGATGAGGAGGGACGTGAAGAGTCACCTCCGGACGTGCGACGTCTGCCAACGCACGAAGACTAAAAGGCACGCGCCATACGGCGAGCAATATAGTTAACATTTGCATAACGTTATTATTTTATATTTTTATATTTAAGTTATAGTATAATGAACTTCAGTTTCATCATAAATTATGTAATTAAGCGTTACTGTATACCGTTACTGTCACGACTGAAATACTAAAGACAGGTTGTGAAATCATCAATTGACTATTTATACAAGAACACACTAATTTATCTAATGCTGCGAGAATTGGCGAACCAGGACACAAGCTGCATATCCTTGTTCTGGATGGTGATACGCTTGGCGTGGATGGCGCACATGTTGGCCCCTTCGCACTATTAGTATAGTTTTTGTAGGTGTTCATAGAGACAGCTTACCTTCGAAGTATGACACAAGGTGGGCCTCAGCGGCCTCTTGGAGGGCACAGATGGCAGTAGACTGGAAGCGGAGGTCTGACATGAAGCTTTGCGCGACTTCACGAACAAGACGCTGGAATGGGAGTTTGGGGAGGATGAGGGCGGCCGACTTCTGGTAGTGTCAGATCTCGGCGACGATCCGTTCTTTCATATAAGTTAGTAGTGTGAACAATATTCTATTAGAAAAGAATAGCATACTGTTGACAGAAGCCTTGCTCAAAGGAGGGACAGGGCGAGGGGCTTGTTGTGGGAAGTTGGAGCCAGGGTGATCCCGCTCCCAGTTCCTTTTCTGGGCATTGTAGCTCCAGATCTTTTCTTGGCGGGCTCGGCGCGCAGTCTTGTGAATATCGACTGTTTGTTGAGTTAGTAACCTTGTATTGCTTGTAGGGTAGGGTGGAATACTTACCGTGGCGCTCAGGCTTTTGCTTGGTGCGAGCCATGGTACAGATGTGAGCGAGAGCGATATCTAAAACATGTTAATTTGCCATATTGTAGCAATTTGGCGTTACTGCTGGGCGTTACTGTAGTTGTAACGCCCAAAGAACAAAAGGGGTGAACTTACAAAGGTTGGTGACAGAAGGAAAAATTGCTAGAACTTGTATATTAGTAAAAATAAACACAATACCGTTACTCTACAGCGTTACTGTAGGGTTAAATCAAATGTAAAGAAGATTGAACTTACCAATGTTGCTAGACGCGTTATCTCAGAATTGTTGTAGAAGTTAGGATCGAATTCGAAGTAAGGGCGCTTAAGTGTTGTTGCAAACAAAAAAAACTCCGTTTCTTGTTCCAAATCCGGACGTGTCAATAACAAAGAATAGTACGAGTAAGTTAGCAAAGAAACCACCCTTACATTTGATTACCTCTGATTATTAACTTCCTTTTAGATTTCCAAATTTATTGACTATACCGACCCCGACCAGTAAGTAGTTGCGCCCCTACTTTCAAAAGACGTCCGCCTTGTTAGCACATTGAAGTACTCTCACAACAGTATAATCAAAGCCAGTGCTAACAGTAACGCCCTATAGTAACGCTCATCAGCTCCAAATCGCCTCTAACGCAACTTTACCATGTCGTCTCCAGCCACTGCGAAGTCATATGAGGAGAGACGCGCGGAAGTCATTGCAGCTACTGCCCACACCATTGAGCTCGCTCAGAATGCGGACCGACAGGTATAACAATCCTACTCTTCTACCAACAGAAATCCGCCTGAAATTGTGGTTCTTTGCCCTCTCTCGCGTCTCATTGTAATATCGTCCACTTCCCACACTCCGCAATGCTTTAGACGTCTTTGTCGACTATCCACCGCTTCCATCATGCTTTCTAGCATGCCACGAGGCATTGCAGATGTATAAAAAATGCTTAATCGCAAGTATCTCTAACTCTCCGACATCTTATTATAACTTCAATCACGACGGGTTTCTGCTCAGCAGTCCCGATCTAGCTGTTGACACCGACTATTTGCCTACAGTCACTCCACCCAACAACTCCCATAAGTTGCGATTTTTGCATGTATCACGGGGCTACCTGAAACTTACCGGTTGGGCGCGTCTTTGAGAGCGATTCATAGGACTTGAGTAGTTCGTCTCGGTGTCCCATAAAAATGCATCCTGCCGTCTCACAATAAGCCCCCTGCTTCTGCTCGAATCCTGCTTCCCCCAGGGGTGGTGGGAGAATGGCACAACGTTTGGGCGCGCGAATCAAGGAGAGCTGGAGGGTTGACTGTGAATTCCAATCATTGCATATATCATGGCGTATTTGATTACAGATTCAGTGGTGGACTTATTGTCTTTGTACACTACCAAAGTAAGAATCCCTCGCCACCATCTTAAGGCGACGTCAGGGGGTATGGGGCAGTACATCCCATTTTCAAAAATAGTAGGAGAACCATAAAATTAGACCGAAAGGCGAGGCACTTGACATGTCAGCAAGGATGCAGCTCCTGGAGGAGCAAACACGAGACCCCGCCACCCAGAGACGCAAGTCCCAATGTGGCAACTGACGATGGAGTTCATGGCTCTTGTGATCGCGGGTTACATTCTTTCGGTTACATCTTGCCATATTGAGAAGGTTCTGGGACTGAGCTGAACTGGGACATTCCAAGCCAATGGGGACATCACGTTTTGCAGCTGTGTAGGACAGCTGGATCCTTCATTTTTGGGGGCCAGCGGAGTAGTATATAAGTTATGAGAAGGACTGTCGAGTTTTATATGTCTTTAGAATAGATATCAGCTCACTACACTGCATTCCGCAGCAGCTCTAGGTATTATCTTTATCCTCCACACGACACAAAAAATCAAGGACAGTTTTCAACCAGCCATGTTGTTCACCTTGAAGATGGTTATCATGGCAGGAGCTGCCAGGGCTTCACCTATCGATGAGACTCCAAACACCGAGGCGACTAGCATTGTGCCGACTGGTGTCATCGATATCGATATCAGCGGTGGCTCTGATATGGGCGAAATATCCGTCAGAAGTGGCTGTAGCCAAGGCACTTGTCCAGACAACAAGGCTCCCTTCGACTTCATGGAGCGGTTCTGGCAGGACGAAAGCTAAGAGAACAACCTTGCATGGTACACCTACGATATACGCGTCAACGAATGCGGGCAATGCGTCTCGACGAAGGCCAGCAGTAACGGATGCGCCGATTTCACTTCCTGCGGACAAAAGCAGGATATCTGTGTCGAGGCCATCAAGAGGCGTGCTTTCCGGATCTGGAAAGATAAGGATATCAGGAAATGCTACAGTCTTAATTATGACCAGATCGGTAGCTGTGGGTTGGCGAAAAAGTCGGAATTTTATTGGCCTAGGTCGAAGAGTGTCTGCCATTGGTAGACTAAGGCGATCTGGGTGCAATCGATACCATTCACACGAATGTTGGCGGAAGTCAGATGTAATTGAGGTGATGGTCCCATAAGAGACCGGCTGGTGAAATAATGCATTCCCACCTTAACGTCTATCCTTAGATATATAGAGAACAATTATATTAAGAGGGAGCCAAACACGCCCACCAGAACTCCCTGCACATACCACCCCATACCACCCCATACCTACCCAAACGTAATCTTCGTCCTCGTCAAGTCTTTAAAAACATCATCCAACACCTGCCTCTTTCTCTTTTCTCGCCCCCCTTCCTCTCTCCGATCCCTATCACCCTCCACAGCTTCGTCCACCATATCCTCACCCACCGTCGGCCCCCAAACCCTCACAACCCCGTCACTCCCACCACTCACAAACCCCTCCCCAACCCCCCTCCACGCCAAACTCGTTACCCGCCTCCCCACACTTCTCTCCCCCGTCCCGGTCCGCGCCCTCACAACCGCCACACTTGGCCCAGGCAAGCGCAGCCTATTGACCACCCTCCCCTCATGCAGCTCAAACATAACCACTTCTCCCTCATTTGGATACACTAGTAGCCCCCCCTTCGGCCTCGTATGTTCCACCGGGCTTAGCAGCAGCGGTTTCGTCTCCAATTTTGAATTTCTTAGCGTCGGCCCAAAATGCGCCAGCGTATTCGCCCCGGAACCTGCGTCCCACACACGAACCGCGGCGTCATGGCCCGCGCTGACGATGTACTGCCCGTCATCCGTCCACTCAATGCCGTTCACAGCAGCGCCGTGCGCCTTCGCCGCCGCACGACTAGGCCGGTCGAGTCCATCGCCGAGTCCAATCGAGTCTTCGAGGTCGAGGAGCCGGAGCGTACCCGATGCTTTCCGCACGTCCCAGATGCGTAGGGTGCCGTCTGTGCCGCCGGTGACGAGGATATGCTCATTTGTTGGGGACCAGGAGGCGGTGAGGACAGCGCCAGTGTGTCCTGCGAGGCTGTGTGTTGAGGCGCCGGAGTGGAGGTCGACAAGCCGCACGAGGGGGTGTTGCGTGCAGCATGCTACCAGGAGATGGGAGGCGATTGGGGAGAGGGCGTGGGTGTAGATTATAGAGTCTAGGGTGAAAGAGGCAGAGGGTTGGAGGGTGGCGGTGGAGTAGATCTTGAGGGCGTGATCATAGGAGGAGGAGAGGAAGGCGGTGGGTTCGAAGGGGTAGAAGGATACGTGCGTTATGCCGAATTGGTGGGTTGAGGGGCTTCTGGGATGGCATTAGCCTAGGATATATATTGGGAAATCTGGGACAAGGCACCGTTTTACTTCGTCTATGGGTTTCAGTGTCTGGTCTTTCTTCTGGGGCGTAATCTGCTCCAAGTCCCACAGCTTAATCGTGGAGTCCGCTCCGCCAGTCAGCATCCTACAGGCATCAGCTTTGTCACATCAGCATATTCTCTCAACTCACAATTTATGCTCAAACCTATCCACAGCCAGACTATTCACCCCAGCCTGGCATGCCCACGCCCTCTCCTTCCCAGCCGTCCTCTCCCCTTCTACTGGTGCCGGCGCGGCATCCCCGCCATCAAACTTCACATGAGGCCAGAGCTGGAGCGAATGCAGCGCTCGACTGGCGACAGCTCTCGCAAAAGCGCCTTGCCCGATAGAGGCGCTCTCGCGTTCAAAAAAGAGCCGATTCATGCATTCCCCTACCCACGAAACACGTTGATGTGGGCGTCGTTGACGTCGTTGGAGCTATGATGCCGTTATGGTAGCCTTGCGCCGAATTTAATGCACGGACTTGCAAGGCTGAAAATGTCAGTTACACACATTTGTTTCCATCGCGTCGCTCAATCAACTTCACCCAACGTCACTGCAGACAATTTCTAAATGTCGCGTCTCGAGATGGATATTTAAGTTCCGTTGCCCTTCACACGCGCCACGGTTGCAATTCTCCTCACGATGGCCTCAAAATCACGAACCCAGAGCGCCTTCCTGGCACCCCCCGCCGACTCCCCACAGGGCTCTACCCAACCACAAACCCCAGCTCTCCCGCGCCGTCAAGCAACTCTCTACGATGCCATTGCTGGTCCGTAACCCCTTCCGTATTCATATATATATACCCCAGCTAACAAGCCCTCCAGGGCGCAGCACGCAACACGGCCTCAGCCGCACCCCGACTCCCCACGCCATCGCCCCCGAAACAGTCCTATTCCAGCGTGCCGCCGCGCCGGACCGACACGAGGAGACGGATACATATTTTGCGTCTGATAATGCCGCGGGGAACCTCCCTGACTCGGACCTGTTGAAGGCATTACATGTCTATGCTGCGGACTTTTATGCCTCGGAGCGAGAAGCAGGGGCCGATTATAGGAGTCTCGATGAGACGGCGCTCTTGGCCCTGGGGGTACTAATGGAGGAGTTATGCCGGGACCAACTTGGGGAGGCGGGAGACTTGGTATTTACTGAGGGAGAGGTGGTGGAAGGGGAAGGGGTTGGGAGGGCAAGAAGTCAGTCGCGCGGTGTTGGGCGGGAAGGGAAGAGGAGGAAAGTCGAGAGAGAGTTCGACGGATGATGGGAGTGGAATTGCTACATTGCCGGCAAGCAAGCTGGTGAGATGGGGATTCCCATTCAGTATATATCCCCCCCTGCAGATGAGCACGACGCGTCTCCCCACACCACGACTGGAGAAGCCCAGACATCTGCCATTCACGAAACCCACACGGCGCCTCGTGACTCCACCTCAGCCACGCGAAACAAGCAGACCAACAGCGAGAGGGTCACGAGCCTGGACCGGTGAGGTGAGAGTCTAACTCGTGTGCGGAAGGCGGGTGCTTGAAAATCCTTCTCACACGTGCGCCCGAGACCTCGATGGGCAACGTCCTTGTGTTACCACGGTCTCCGAGCGCGGCAACAGGTGCGTTGCGGAGGACATGCCATATCATGTTGATGCCATGTCTACCTATAAGTTAGGCCAAGTGAGGTGAGATTAGACGAGGTGGACGAGAGATCTTGGCCAATGCCCTGAATGTCTCACCGAGACAACACACTCCCCAATACAACAGCGTCTCTCTACCCCTCCCCCCTCAATCTCTCCAGGCGAGCGGTTCCTTTCCGGTCCTGCATCACCTGCAGGCACCTTACTCTACAACGGAGTAACCACCGACTCCAATCCCAGAAACTTGTACCTGCAAACCCCTCCCAACTGCCGTATCTGCCCCCATTCCAGTGAACGGCCCGGGCCAGATCTCCACTGCGGCCTGGCACTGGCTCGCTCTAGATTAAGATCCCGCCCCGGCGTAGGAGCTCATACGGTGTCAATAGTTGGGTGGTTATGTGGGGGGGTGGGGTAGGGTGGGGTATCTGATAGGGAGGGGCACAGGGAGCTGTATGTACATGTATGCACACCATCGAATTCTTTCGCTATAGCTCCATCTTTCCCTATCCGTGAGTGGAGTGGATATTGGCGGTACAGTACAGCTTCGAAAGCGCTGGCCGTGCGGGAGAGAGTGGAGTGAAAGCTGGGATGAGACAGACATCGATATTATGGTGGGGGGGGGGGAGGGGAAGGGAAGCTGGGATGAGACAGCCCTCAAAATATGATAGCGGAGCGTGCGACGCCGGAGGTGGATAAAAGGGGGTGGCGCCCGTGCTGCCGCCGCGGCTGGGGAGCAGCTTCCGGATGCCGGGAGTGGGGGTGATGCGAAGGCCAGAAGCTGTTCTTTCGTTTCCTTGGTCGGGATGACGTAAGATCAAGATCAGGACGACCATCCCATCTATGATCTGCTGCGATGCAGAAGCGATGTGAGGTCGATGGCGATGGCGATGGCGATGGCGATGGCGATGTCGATGCGATGCGGTACGGTACGGTATTAATGCGAACTATACAAGCGCTGGTGCTGAGAGCTACTGCAGCGGAGAGGTTTTGGCGGATGGATGAAGACATGGATGGGATGTAGTCGCGGAGCATGCATGCATCGTTCATCTTGGGATCTAGGGCGCCGGCGGGGCGGAAGTGGTCCGCGAGTCATGGCGTGCATGGTGGGAGCCAAGTGGCAGTTTTGGGATATGTATGATATGTATGAACTGTTTCTACAGCGTTCGACATACAGTATAATTGTTTTTAGCAGACGGTAAACCCGCAATCCCAGATGTACTCGTAGCGTTTCCCCACGTCTTTCTTCCTGGCACGGCACAAGAACTAACCCCCGGTAGAAAGGTCGCAAGCCTAGCCAAACTCACCTTCTCTCCCGCATATTCTATTCCAAATACCCAAGACACGTTCCACAGTGGCTGGCTGAACCCATTCCTACCCCTATCTGCCCCCCCAAACATGGCAGTCATTTTAAGCACCTCCGCGACTGCGGACTGGGGTAGTTATTGCCACCACGGCTCAGCGGCACTCTTATGCGGGCCGCACTGCAGTGTCTTCTCTCAGGGCCAAAAACCAAAAACCAGGTGGCTAGAGACATTCTACTGTAGGACGCCGCCTCGCCTGGGACGATGCGGATAGAAGTAGTCGGTCGCTACTCTCGCCAATTTCCCAATCTCCCAATTTCCCAAGCCAATTTCCCAATCTCCCAATTTCCCAAGCCAATTTCCCAACTTCCAATTTCCCCAACCCGTGGCGGCCTGCAAGCGCACAGTCTGTTGCGTGACCCCTTCCTATCCACATTTGCAAGCGATGAACAGGGGCCGGATTGGGTTATTTCGTGAGCTGGACGGAGGGAGTGGTCGTGGTGGGAATAGCTTGCGAGGATCGTGGGCAACATGGCAGGGGCCGGTCGGAAGCAATTAGGATGGAGGGTGTGGGTGTGGGTGTGGGTGTGGGTGTGGGTGGGGTGTGGGTGGGGTGTGGGTGGGGGGATGTGTGGGATGGGGAAAAGCGAGGGAGATAAGGATGTGCGCTGGGACGGACGGGGACGGTGGGATACCGTAGAGGGGATACCGAAGGAGGGGACGAGGGGATACCGAAGGAGGGGACGAGGGGATACCGTAGGAGGGGACGAGGGGATACCGAAGGAGGGGACGAGGGGATACCGAAGGAGGGGACGAGGGGATACCGAACTATAGTACAGAACTATGTATACTCCAGAACTATACAGAACTATACAGAACTATGTATACTACAGAACTATACTACAGAACTATACTGAACTTACACAATTTTGTCCCTTTTATCCCTTTGCCCTTTTTGTCCCTTTTATCCCTTTGCCCTTTTTGTCCTTTTTTTGATCTCGCTTGCATGGATCTAATCTCCCTGCATTACCCACCCCTCATTCCGCCTCGGAAGCCTGCCAGCCATCCACCATTCCGCCTCGGAAGCCTGCCAGCCATCGACCATTCCCAACCAGCAACGAACCACCAACCCGGATCCCAAAGCTTCGACACAAACAGCTGCACCTCCCCCCTCCCCCCTCCCCCGCCTACCCGCCTCTCTGTCAACATCTCCTGCTCCACAGCCCCGTCCCACCTGCCCCAACAGACGACTCCGAAACAGAATCCCACCCACCTACCCGCCACACACCCACCCGCCACACACCCACCCGCCACACACCCACCCGCCACACGCCCACCCGCCACACGCCCACCCGCCACACGCCCACCCGCCACACGCCCACCCGCCACACACCCACACACACCCACACACACACCCACCACCCACCACCCACCGCCGCCATGCTCCTATACATTTCATCCCCCTCCCCTCGCCCGCAGAATCTCTCGACCTGTCGTGTCTCTGTCGAATCCCCTTGGGCTTGGGACGACAGTCCTCCAAGTTGGGACTCTGACCCAGATGGTACCCAGATGGTACCCAGAACCCCAGATGGTACCCAGAACCCCAGATGGTACCCAGATGGTACCCAGATGGTACCCAGATGGTGCCCCCCTGCCCTCGCCTGCCCTCGTCGAATTCCTGTGCTACCGCCCGCATCCGCGCTGTCAACTTTGCAACCCGAAAGCCCCACCTCGGACCGCCACATACCCCCATACACAGACACACACACACCGCCTCCTGACCCCGTCGCTTCTGGTCGCACATACCCCGACGAGTCCATGGGATTAGACGCTCGCTGGTGTCAATTTTTTTTTTTGCCATAGCCCCTCAGAGTGCAATCTCGTCTCTGCGTATTAATGCACAGCCCATCGCCCATACTTATAAGTCGGCATGGATACTGGACCCCCCGACGCGAAACGCATACGAGCTGATCCGAGTCCTTGGTCCGCGAACGCGATCGACTCCCATATTCATAGACATCCCCGAGGACACCCCTACCCTCAGACAACGCTCCCGCGACAACAACGTCGACTATCAGGGCCCTGGCAACACCACGAGCCGGACAATACCCGCCGACATCCACAAGCCCATCCCTACGACTCTTACGGAACGCCAGGGCCTCGAGATCCAGCTATAAAGCCAGATCCCAACGAGCCACCCCCGTTGCCCAACCCGAGGCCACACTCGGAGGGACACCGCAACGAGGGCCACGCCAATATCCCCCCGGGCGACCTGCGCGTCCAACCCATGAGACCGTACGATCACCCGCCGGCCCCGTCACAGGGCCCCCAGCATTACATCCCGCAACCGCAACAGTCACCGATGCACACGCCTCGGCCAGGGCAGCTTGCCTACGACGGAAACGGTATGTACGAGCAGAATGGAGGAGACGGCGCGTCGGGGGTTCCATTCGAGTATACGGGGGTCGCGAGCGCGCTGAAGAAGCGAACGCCACGAACCACAATGGTAAGGAAGAATAGCCTTATGAGCTTGCATCGTGGGTGGAAACTTACTAGTGTGTAGGCTTGTGACGCATGCCGCGCTGCGAAGGCGAAGTGTACCGATCCCAAACCGTGCCAGGGATGTAAAGATAAAGGCATCGAGTGCAAATTCCCTGAGCCTGCCCAGAAACCGTAAGTGCGGAAGAGCTCGGTGAAGTGACAATGCTGACCCCACTAGGGCTGATAGGGCACAGTCGGACATTATGACCCGTATGACTGAGCTTATCAAGGAGGTCCAAGATTCGCGCGCGAGTGTTGTGCGTGAGGTTAGGCAGCTTAGGCATGAGGTTACGAGACTGCATGGTCGGCAAAGGGTCATTGAAAGGGGGCTTTGCCCAGCTAATCCTGGCCTGTCCGCTCTTCTAGTCGCCCATGACGAAAGGACGCGCCTGATCAAGAAAGAAGACGACGCTGATGACCTATATGAATTGGAACGACCCACAAAGATGCACAAGTCGGAAACAAACGGCGTACGTTTCGCCCACGCCGAAGATGATGTCCTTGGGGATGATGCGCCGGATTCGGATGATGGGAGCGAGAACCACGCCGTTGCCAATGTGCCTCCTGGCGAACCAGCGATACCCGTCGGCCACACCACTGGAGCTGCCAATATCATCCTGTGGCCCGCAGTGTGGACCATGGTGGGACATCCGATGAAGGGAGACAAAAACAGAGGCCTCAACCCGCTACGGCGCGAGATTAAGCGCGGAGTTATGCGTCTGTACGGGCGTGGCGAGGGTTTTGAGCGGTCAGTAGGACACGACAAGGACTCCACGTCAGACTACGACCTCGAACCTCCGAGGTCGAGCAGCGACACGTATTCTGATTCGGCACATTCACTGACAGTTGAGCATAATTGGAGCCAAGGCGCACAAAGCCCTGTGGCAGACTCCTACCTATTCCGCGCCGAGAGCGATGCTAGAGCGGCTGCTGTGAACACCACAGCCCCCCCGGACCTAGATGAAAAAACGGTGCGACACCTAGCGGGGAGCTACATGAATTATCTAAATGTCATGCATCCAATCATAACCCAGAAGTCCCTCGACGGGATGATTGCCAAATTCATGCGGAATATGCAGAATGCGGGGGCGACAGAGAAAGATGGAGCAGGGTACAACTTCGCGTCGTTTGCCGGTACTGATACCACCGGTTCCAAGCGCAAACGGCTGCCAACGGTCTCAGGCACCGATCATGCTTTTGCCCCACAGCTCGGCCACGGGTGGCGCCATCGGACAATCAGCGAGGCCATCGTGCTCTTGATCTTGGCTTTGGGTAAGGTGTGTGAGCACCGGAGCAAGATCCCCGACGTCGTTCTAGACAACGGTAGCTCGAATCATGTCTCGCCCCCGATAATGAACCAGTCGCCGCAGATGTCATCGCGCTCATCAATGTTGCCGTCGCCAATTATGCAAGACCGGGCGCATCATCGCAGCTCAAGCGACATTGCCGGTGCCCGATACCCACCTGGCACGCGTAACATCGATGTTATACCTGGCTTGGCGTATTTTGCCGCCGCCTCGGACATTCTGGGGAACCACCAAGGTGGCACAGGCCTGCCATACGTTCATGCCTGCTTGCTTGCCGGCTTGTACCATAGCCAACTTGCCCGTGTGCTGCAGAGCCACGCGTGTGTGAAGGAGGCTGGATATGCGCTGACCATCATGTTGAAACCGTGAGTTTCTCTCCCTCTTCTGACGCCGCGTGCTATATGCTAACCCGAAATAGACATCTTCCACGTTATAAGCAGATGCTAGAGGATATGGGCGACGTAGTGCGGCGACCTCAGATCAGATGGCTTCCGGAGGATAACCCCACCCTGTTTACGTTCTGGACGTGCCTTCAGCTAGAGAGGTGTGTATCCCCGTGTCTTAGCTGCGAAGCCAACTGATTTTGTGGTAGTGACATCGTCGCCGAGCTGGAAGTACCACAATCGGATATCCTCTCGCTTGAGTCTATAATGCCGTGGCCGAACTTGACCATGGCCCAGAATAACAACGAGATATCCGCGAAGGCATCATGGTGCTATTCCATGCAGCTCGTATACCGGAAGAAACTTAATATCATACACCGTGATCTGTATGGTCCAGGGAAGGAGGATGGTACGTTACGGTCTCCCCAGAAGCAACTAGGCGACTAACGTAACCCCCTTTTCCAGAGTATCAGCTTGCAGAAATGAACAGGCTCCCAAAGTTTCCTTACATCGAGGCGATGATCGATGAGCTACAGAAAGTGATGAACACCAACCCCAACCTCGTGTGGGGCGATGACGACCCTCCATCCTCGGACATCCTCGAGGCCCGGCTGCGTGCTAAGATGTACGGTGCGGAGGTTATCACGACCCGTCATTTCTTGCGCATGGTGCTTAACAGCCAATACGATGGGAATAAAAATGTGGTGATCTCAGCGCCGATCATGCAGTTTGCGCAGAGGTGTATTCGCGCCATGTTCCACTCAGCGCAGGCGTTTTGGGGAATCCAGGGGGGAAGGCTTGTGGTCACTAATGTTTGGGGGACATCGCATGCGTAGGTTTCTACTTTTCTTCAGTCCCGTTTCTTGCGTCCTGATTGCCTATTTTGTTGCCCAATTATCCTCTTACGTGTCTTTGCGGACGTCGGATCTTACCGGGCACGCCTCCCCAGCACATTACAAAAGCTAATACACCACCAATAGCCAATGGGGACATCTCATCGTCCTTCACGCGGCCTACAGGGACCTCCGGTTGCGCCCTTACGTTCCCGCGCGCCATCTAATGGAACTAACCAAGCGGGTACGCCAATTCCTCGTGTCAGCCGCGCACCCAAGTAGTGCTCTTGCGGACGATATTCGAATCCTAGACTATGCGACTGAAGCGTCGGGGTTGCGGGAAGATATGGCGGCGATGTCGAGGAGAGGATCGCAAGGCGGGTCAAGAGGCGGATCGGGTGGAGTGGCGGGGAGTGGTTTTGGATCAAATGGCTCGGATATGGGGGTCGCATATTAGGGCATAAGGGGCCGCGGCGTGGGATTGAGGTTCACGAGCATGGCGCACACCGTCCATGGCACATATTTTGGGGACCCTTGCCCTGCTAACCTTGGTTGCGGCAACGGACGAATCCGACAGCCCCGCAAATATCGGGCACGCGTGGAACCTGCGACTCATTACGGTGTATATGTACGCATATATCTACATCTACCCATCCTGGCACCGCGCACAACAGCACGCGCATACAGATTATATACTTTACCTCATCTAATTTCAACACATATAGCACGGTGACAACACAACACATCACCTTCTCTGGCGCGGCTGCAACCGATAGGTAGCGCGCAACGTACATATACACTTACGCATATACTTACTCACGTCCATACCCACACCTGAACACATGAAAACCGGACATCAGAACCGAGGATGTGGATAGGTGAACGGGGTGGACGGGTGGACGGGACGCACGGATAGGCGCATGGACAGGGCGGTTATTTGACATAATGTTTTTTTTTTGGCGGCATTTGGATTTACTTTCGTGCATGGTGGGGGAGGTGGATGGATTGGGGGGGGGTACCTTGGAAATGGAGGGGCAACAAGGAACACAAAGGGTTGGGGGGATGGAGGATTGGGTTGGGGCCGGCTTTTTGAAATACCTTATCATTTTGTGCGTATTTTTGCGAATTTGATTTAGCCTTGTTTGGCTTTTGCCTTTTGCGTTTGGGCGGCTTGTTGCGACTTGCGATTTGCGAATTGCGAATTTGCTCTCTTTTGTTTGTTTGACTGGAAGGGGGTAGTATATTGGTGACGTGAAGGAAACAAACACGTGGGAGATGGTGCGCCGCGAGGCAGGTAACAAGAGGCTGGGGGCTGTCCGTAGCTCAGGCAGATGGAATATTAAGGGAGGGATGTTGTTACTCATATATAGTCTTGATGGTATTCATGTGATTGATATGAGAGTCCTAACGTCGTAACCAAGATAATCTGTCCCGCATCCCATACGTCTTGTTTCGCTGCGTGCGCGGGAGTGTTCCTCCACTCCACCCCAGTCAATCTCCCAGCCCATTACGCCTCTGCGACTATGGACCTCGCATGGCAGCTCATTGAAAGTCCAAAAACCAGCCAGCCACGCACGCACGACAGCTACAGCATTACACCGACCACCGCCACCCAACCATCCGCATACGCGCACTCCCGCATGAGGTCGTCGAGCGTGGCGTGCAGCGGCACGCGGGCGCCGTGCAGTATTGCAGCGGCGAGGATGGGGTCGCGGCGGGAGGGGAAGAGGGAGGGGATGAGGGTATGGAGGGCGTGGCCTAGGGTTTGGTAGTCATCTGTTGAGAGCAGAGATAAGTGGGCTGTGTGAAAAGGTGGGGTAGCGGAAGGGGGGGGGGGGGGGGAGGTGAGGGCGTACTGTTTGGTAGTCGGGGGTGACAAGGCCCTGGATAACGCGGAAGGAACCGGTGTTGTTGGCGTCGATGTCGGGATGGGGGATGTATATGCGTAGTGGGATATGGCGGAGTGGTGAGGCGGGGTTGAGGAGGGGGCGGGTGAGGGCTGCAAAGACGGGGCAGTTATCTGTAGGTGGGATTATGAGCTGTTGACCCTATGTATGGCGTGGATGGGGTTGAAGACGAGCGGAATCAAGGGGGTAACGAACTATCCTTCACGGCGTCCCATAACGCAGTCGAATTCTCGGCCGACATGGACATAATCCCCTTGGCGCTCCCATACCGGAGGAAGTCAGCCTATCTCCCATTAGCACTCATCTCACCCACCCCCCCCTGGAACACAGAAACCATCAACTCACCTCCTTAACACTATTCATAAACCCATCCGCAACCCCCCTCTCGCCCACCCCCCACCCATCCCCAACCACTATCCGCCACGGCAACTGCGGCGCATATAGATCCGCCAGCAACCCCGCCGGAAGAAGACGCAACTCGATCCCCTCGTATGTGAACGACGAGAGCGGGACGTGGAAGAAGACCGAGAGACGTGGGAGGAGGAGGGGGAGGTAGGAGAGCCGCGGGATGTTGAGGAGGTAGGGAGGAGGCGCGCCGGAGGAGGGATGGAGCGAGGGGGCGAGGGTGATGTGGAGGGGGACTGTGGAGGACCAGATTTGGGTTGTTAGGGGGCTGGCCATGGTTGGGGCTGGGGGGTTGGATGGGGGAGAGGGATATGGGATGGGGTTGATGGATGGTGGGTGGGTGTTTGGAGGCGAGGCTGGGATGTGGGGGTTTGGGTGTAGCCTTCGGGTTTGGGTGGTAGCCTCGTCTTTGCTGGGAGGTTTGGGGAATCACGATGATATGATCCTTTCTCAACGCGCACGCTTATTAAAAAGTATGAAAACATACAGATACGAGTAAGTCTGACTTTCTAATTAATACGGCAATATTTTATTAAGCCAAAAACCAAAGACACACCAAATTTCCACCCATCAATCACATCGACCCATCATCGTCCACAACCCTCCACTAACCCCCACCCCACTCCCTCCCATTCGCCCTATAAATCGCCTCCCTCGCCCCTCCCCACCTCCTCCTCCTCCCCTCAAAAACCCGATACAAAAACCCCGTATTAACCCCGCCAACAACCAAGCGATACAACTCCCTCTCCTCCCACCAAAACGTCCACGCCTCCCACCCCCACCCCAACATCTCATTAATCCCATTTCCACACGCGTCATTCAACCACTGCCCCACCTCCCCGTTTTTCACCAAACCCGCGGGGGCACGTGCAACATGCGCCATGGCGAGACAATACGCGTAGTGGTCGTCGCACCACCACTCGATCTCCGGTTGCGGTGGGAGCGGGTACGCGCCGCTGAACACCTGAGCAATGGCTTGGGAAACGACATCAGCGCCTGTAAAGGCGGAGATGATTAGGTAGGGGCCTATGAAGGCTAGGGAGTCGGGGTGGGCGGGAGAAAAGATGCCTTGGTAGAGGCGGGCGTGGCGGCGGACCGAGGAGCCGAAGGAGGCGGCGTCGTATTCGGGGGTGGAGTGGGCGGTGGGGTCGAGGGAGGGAGGGAGGATAGAGAAGGTAGCGCGATAGCCGGTGCAGAAGATTAGGGTGTCGATGTTGGGGAGGGTGGTGGAATCGGAGAGGGTGAGAGTATGAGGGGAGGGGATGGAGGCGATGCAGGGGACGCTGTGGATGGATTTGAGGGCGAGGAGAGAGATGAGGTGGTCGTTTATGATGGGGATGTTGTGGGTTGGTGGGGGAGCGGGGAGGAGGTTCCAGGAGGGATCGATGGTGGGGTATGTGTCGTGCGTGCTCTTCTCCATGGCGCGGGTGTAGAGGAATTTTATCAGACGTGGGCTGATAGATTTGATGAGCCCGACTAGTCTGTTCATTGAGATTGTTTCTGCGTGATCACTCGGTTTGCCTTGGGCATTTATTCGGGGTAGCTGCTGGTCTCAGTACGGCGGTTGCTAAATATTTGGATGAGCTCTTACAATGCAGGCGCCGCTCCTGTGCGAGAGGTAGACGTTTGCTGCTACTTTGCTGAGCTCGACGGCGGTGTCAGCTGCAGAATTGCTCAAGCCTACAACAACCACGTTCTTTCCTTTGAAGTCGCTCGGACTGTTCAACTGTCAGTGAAGGCTCCATAATATGCTTTGAATGATGCACTTACTCCTTAAACGACTGAGAATGAATAACCTCGCCTCCGAACTCGTCAATACCCGGCACGTCTGGCATGACAGGGCTGTGAAAAGTTCCATTGGTGATGATGACTTTATCGAATTCCTCCTCAGTGGCGTTTGAATCTGGTCTATTGATGCTGATTATCCACTTATCGCCCTTCTCTGAGCGATTAATCCCCGTCACAGTAGTGCCTAGCCGGAACGTCGGCCTGAGCTGGAAGTGGTCGGCATAATCTTCCAAGTATTTTTGAACCTGAGCACCAGTTGGGTAGTCCGGTACATCTGGCATAGTCATATTAGCTTGGAGCAATGGGCATGGGGATTTTGGGAAAGCGCCCACCCTCGGGAAATGGGAAGTCAGTGAACGATTTCTAAAACCCAGCTATTAGCCACCATGCGTCTCTTCGGCCCCGAATTTATACACATGGGACATACACGCTGTTTTGATTGATTCGAAATGGTAGCTATGACTATTAGTGACCGCTAGAATAGCTATTCGAAGAGAACTCACTCGGCAACACCGATGTGCGACCTGGATCGGTGGTGACTGTCCAAAGGCCTCCAATGTACTCATTTCGGTCGTATCCCACCACATCAAAACCGACTTCAAGCATATTCTTCACCGTGACAATGCCATATGCGCCTGGTGAATCAGTACCAAGTCGTGCTGCATATTGAACGAAGATAAATCTCACCGAGGCCAATCACAGCCACCCGTCCCATTTTTGATGTCATCTTGTAGGCTGTTGTTATAAAACGAGGGTAATTATGTGGAAAGCAAACAAGTTTTCACCAGTTCTTAATAGATGCCCAGCGATATCGTGAAACACACTGAGAAAATAAGGGAGGTGACTTACATCGCGAATTGAGTTGTCGTTTTGCCCCATCGCCTTAAATGCGGGAAGGAGTGGTTGACAATACGGAGACTGAGACGCTAACAGTGATCTTGGTATTGTTCTCATCCGAACCGAGACGAGACGGAACCAACACCGAATCGGCGATGTATCACAACAAACCCCTCAATCGATGCAGTTTTGAGACTCACGAGACCCTTATTGCTAATGTTGGATGATTGCAATAGATCATCCCCTTGCAATGGAATTAGAGTTGCCAAAGGGAGTCTGGAAAGGGAGTCATCATAATTCATTCCTATGTGTAGCAAGTAGCAAGTAGCACTTTCCTCGCCCAACGCCGCGTCGTAACCCATCCATCGCTCGCATCCCTAGCTAGCAACAAACAAAGCTACTTCCGTCGAATCCCCCATGAAAAGCAAAGCTCATTTCTCAGATCGCTCCTCTGGAAACAATCTCACCCTCCCTACCATCACAACCAGTTCTCAAACCAGGTAACAGCCTGCTTGAACGCATCCTCCATGGCGTAAAGGTTCTTCTGCACGCTCATATCAGCCCTCAGCGCAAAGCCATGGTCGACGCCTCCGTAGACGTTGATCTGGAATGGGATCTTCAGGTCAATCAAGATCTTCTCGGCGTCGTAGCGGTTCTTCTGGGTGAAGATGCTGTCGATTTCTGTCCAGGGTGCTGTTGTTAGCCTGGTAGTCTGGTTGCTCCCTGGGAACTCCCTGTGTTGGTGGTGGGGAGGGGGTCTGAGCTGGTTGCAGGGGGAGCTAGGGGCTTACCAGATGCAGCGATGGACACAGGCTTTGTGATAGCGAGGAACTCGTCGGTCGTAATAAAGGATGGATGAGCTAGGTATCCCGAATCCAGAAGCCCCTCGCCCTTCAAGTTGCGCACGACGTACTATTGAGAGATGAGTGATCAGCAGGCTATTGTCATTAGTTGATGAGAATGGTAAAGACTTCGGAATAGATTCGTTGGTGTAGGGGTTCTCAAACCTATAGTATGTGACACAGAGCAACTCATCACATCATAGCGTTGCATTGTATGACTTGTTGCTTAACACTAACTCCTTAGTTGGCGGTTTGGAGGACTAGGTGGGTTATAGCAAGATAAAGATCATGAATGGCCCTTCACAGAGCTTGTCTTTATCAGAGCTTGCCTTTATTATTAGAGCTTGTCTTTATTATAGCTTCCCTTTACTAGACCACCCCACAAACCTTCAGCAATGGCAGAACGAGAACGACAAAAGATCGCCATCGTTGGCTCAGGTATGTCGGGGCTGGCTGCCGCATGGGCTTTACACAATGATCCGTCTGGCAAATTCGATGTCACCGTCTATGAAAAGGTCCCCCCCCACTTTCCCCTCAAAACGGCATCTTCTGGCCTCAAAACCCATCACTAACCCCTCAAGGGTAACGCCTGCGCCCTCGACGGGTACTCCTACACCCCCCCCGGCGCCAAGAGCTCCCGCATCGACATCCCAATGCGCGTCTTCTCGGGAGAATACTACGCAAATCTTTTCAAACTAGTCGCCGAGTTCAACGTCCCCGCCAAGCCGCGTCGTTTTCTCTTCGTCTTCACGCGCGAGGAGCACGAGAGGCCGTATTTCATCCATGCCTCCAACAAACATAGGATCTTCCCGCCTAATACAGAACCGAATCCTAGTCTCTATCAGCGGATCAGGCATTTGCTCTTATCGGTCGTCTTGGGGTTGTGCTATGCGGTGTTTGCGTTTGGCGTGAGGTTCTTTCCGCCGGGGGTTGGTGGACCGGGTGAGGCGGCGGGGACGGAGACTATTGAGCATTACTGCAATAGACTCTTCCTGCCGAAGTTCTTCCTCGACGATTACCTTGTTCCTCTCTTCTCATCTGTGGCGACTTGCTCGCACGATGACTTCCGCACTTTCCCAGCTGTGTACATCACCGACTATAAGAAGTACACGTCGGGCAATGATCACAACTCTGTGACGACGATGCAGGCTATGCAGGAGAAGCTGGTCTCCAATAACCTCCGCATCAAGCTCAAACATCCAGTTACCAATATCGAGAGTCAGCCTGATGGGACCGTTAAATGCACAATCGTGGATTTAGATAACAATAAGAAGGAAAGTGTGATTACTTTCAACAAGGTCATCACTGCAACTTCTTCCCATGCCCTAGCGCATCTCTATAAGCCAGCAAGACCAATGGCATCTCAACTTCCAATCTGCGAAGCCGAGGTCGTCGTTCACAGTTCGTCTCCCCCTCTTCTTCCCTCATTATCCAACCTCACTAACCCCTCCTAGCCGACTACACCATAATGTCGCACGTCATCTCCCGCAAAGGCCCTCTCGCCAAAAAGCCCCTTTCCGACCTCACCGCCGACGAATTCCTCGCCTCAACCAAGTGGCTCAACCCCGACGCCTCGGCTGCGGACATCCTGGCTCTTCAAACCCGCCGCTCCCCTTCAGGCGAAGAATGGACAGAAGCCACACACGTCCACAGCTCCGGCCTCCTCGTCACTGTGCGTCCAGTAATCTACTCCAAGAACCCAACCCCCGGCGAGGCCGTCTATGGCAGTATGAATAAGACCCCCCGCTTGCCCCCTGCTTATGTCATTTCCGATGACAAAGTTGCCCACAAGGCTGTCTTCTACCGTATGCTGAGCAACCCGCAGAGACGGGAGCTGATCCGTGCGGCGTTCTCGAAGGAGGCTCCTGCGTCCGGAGGAAAGAAGGCCACGGAGAGAGAGGGGTTGTTGAATGGTGCGGCTAAGAACCAGGGGTGGAGAAATGGAGATGGTAATCTTTTTGCCGTCGGGAGCTGGAGCAATGACTCGCTTACGCTGCTGGAGAATTGCGTGAGGACGGCTTTGACTGTGGCGGGAACGCTTGGAGCTGAGCTGCCCTTTGAAGTGGTGGAACGAACTCAGTTTTAGAGGGGGTTCTCTTTTGCTAGTGATTGTCGTCTTTGTTCTTCGTAACCAGTGGTATACAAATTTCTTTGCTCTTATACAATTAACGCACTGCTACTAACATGATTGTGCAATTCTGATATATGTCCTTTATGTGCGAGCACTCCCTTTGCATCTCGGTTAGAGGACCCTAAACGATACATGGAAGAAGCATTGGTGTTGTTTTTGGTTTCCTTCCGCGAGGGAGGGAGGAGAGGTATGATGCCACCAGGAGCTCCTTGACAGAGTCGAACTGTCATTCCATCACTCTTCTCTTTGTATGTTTCGGGTTGGTGGGATGGTCTCGTAGTATGGGATGAGACGGGCCCACCGTTGCCCTTTTTAATTCAATCATATTTAGACTGTATGGACTTATGTGATATCGGCGTCCCATTGCTCGTTGGTTGGAGTCTAGGTAGGGGGGGGTCTGGTGTAGGTTGATCATGGCGATCTAGGGGGTTGGTCGGAGTTGTCTGGAGGCATTGGGGTCCTCGAAGGATGCGGATGTCTCGAGGGTTCTCGTTCTAGACTTTGGTAAATATTGCCTCATTATAGGTGGCATTTTGGTATATTTCTTTGGTGCTAAGCACTCTTTCGGATAGTATGCGCTGTAGCATCATGGCATGGTAGGATTGGCAGGCTCTCTCTTCGGACTAGAGGTAGTGTAAAGCGTAAGCCCAAGGTCTCACGGGAGTCCAGGGAACCAGGTCAGGAGGCAGGAAGGTCTCGTATTCAGTAAGCACAATAGGTCTACGTATATACAGCGACTATTGACTGGAGTCCTTCTTCCAAGGCCTCCAGCCCCCTTTTATCCAGGCGCCCTGTGCCCTAGTTTACCGAGCCCTACGGGCCCTGCCGAAAGGGGGCTCGCGTGAGGGCACGTGACACCTTCCTTACAATTACCTCCCCCTTTAGTTGAATTGTCCCCAATTCCGAGCGGAGAGGCCGATTGCTAGATCGTAGGCTTCGCGTGGTTGTTTGGGCTGTTTGCTCAGGATAGGTGGAGGGTTATTGAGGCGCGCGCCAAGCTAGGTGGTCCCGTGACCCCCCTTTGTTGTTGTTGTTGGTTGCCGCGGCCACTCCTTGTTTTGGGGCCCCCCATTCCTACTCGACTAGCGAATTCACCTTCTCCCGCCCTACAACCTTCCTACTTCGCCCTTGTCTCGATCACTTCACTCCACCTCAACCTTCAAGGCTCAAGCATCCAATCTCCAAGGTACTTGTTCCCTTCCTTCTGGCTTGTAGAGGTTTATTGACAGTGATAGATCTTCCCGTTCCAGTCCCATCATGGCGCCTCACAAGAAGGTCCCCACAGCTCCCGTTCCTGCAGTCACCACTCGCAAGAGAACGGCAGCCCAGATGTTGGGCTCCCCTAGGTCCAAGGCACTAGTTACGCCCACTCCATCTAGGTCGGTGTCATCCCAACGCCCATGCGCCATCCGACCCTACCGTTCGCCTACTGTCGAGGATGGGCCAGAGGAAGTGGACGACCCTAGATCTTCCACCAACATTCCCAAGGAGATGCGCACCGTGCTTGGGTGGAAGGTCGCCGCCCGCTGCGTGGTTCCCGAGTCTGCAGGGCGCCTTCGCGCTGGCCCTCGCCCTTGCTGCGTGAAGTGCGCCCGCACCTATTTCAACTTCCCTGGACAATTGTGTTGGATCCCAGGAGATTTGGGGAAGTGCGGCGATTGCCTTCAGGGCAACCACCAATGCGTCCCAGTAAGGCGCCTTCTTCATCCCTCCTTGCTGTACTAACAGTTAGGTAGGCTAATACCCATTCGGCGTCGAACTGAAAGCCCTCCAGCTTGCCGCTGATGCTTTCTTGGATAGCCAGGCTGATGACGACGATGCTGGGTTTGAGGCCAACTCCAGCACTACCATCCAGGCCCTTGCTGCCCTCCGCGAGGCCCAGCGCATCTGCTCTAACGTGTTCTGAGCCCAGGAGGCCCCTACCCCCAAGGGCAAGGGTGTGTAATGGTGGGTGCACCAGATATGAGAATCTAGCCACCCAAGGAAGGGATGAATTTACTAAGACAACACACTGTCTTAGGAAACAGAGCCAAAGGGTTGTAGCTTAGACTATTCCACAACGCAGCAATCAGGTGTATGATGTGGTGAAGTGGTTTAGACAAGTTGCAACAAATGTTGAGTCTGAGAACTCAGGGGTAAGTCAGAGGTTGCACCTCACTGACTTTTCAAAAACAGAGAATAACAAGATCAATGCTTGGAAGCTTGGAAAAGACGTGGAAGTATGTGCTAGTCGATTTACTGTATTGTCTGCTTGCCCTTTCTTAAGGAAAGGGCAATCCTATTTATGCCAAAGGAGTGTAGTTCTCTCATTTTCCATGACTTTCCATGACTAACCAGGCTTGGTAAATGTATTAGAAATCAAGTGCGACCCACAACTAGCTTGTTAATCATGTAGTGAACGTAAGAGAATCCCATAGAACCATCTCTTGGGTTCCTAGCCTATAGGAAGTGAAAAGGAGGTCCAAGGTCAGAGTACCTATAGATAAATTATGTCATAACTTAACCAATCTTGTGGGTAACTAAGGAGCGATGACGTGTAATGAATCATAGAGGGTTGTAGAAGCTTCTAGAGCTATCGTTCATGTTCCTAGGCCTCTAGTTGGTAGAGATATGCCATGTGGTAGTATTGGCCCACCCCCTTAAGGAGGAGATTTTCTTAATAACTTGTTCAATGAGTGTCCAAATGATATGCCGTGATGTATGTAGCATAAACAGATGTAGTAGAAGAGTTTGCAGCAATCGTTGAGTAGTATTGCTTCTGTTGTTGGTGTGATAAGCCAAGATATGTATGGTGACTTGTGGGTTTGAGGAGGAGATTTCTAAGTTTGCTCTTGAGTTTGATAGCAAACTGAGTGCAACGAATGTCAGTATGACAGGGTGCTCACCAACCAGCAAAGGGTACGGGAGTCGTCGCGCCAGGACCCTCTGCGGTTGTTGTGCGCAAGGTGGACAACCCCCAGCAGGCGCTTCTCCACCAAGCTGAGACTCTCGTCGAGCTGGGCAAGGCGAAGACTGAGGGCCTCAAGGCTGCCACACAGGTGTTCCACGCCTCCGTCGACGCGGTCCTCGATGCCTACCAGTCCGGGCTCGAGGCCTACGCCAACTCTATGAAGTCTTCCCTTCTTCTTGGGTGTTTGCTAACCCCATAGGCAGCTGGAGCCCAACGCGGAGTGAGCCCCCGTCTGTCATACTGACATTCGTTGCACTCAGTTTGCTATCAAACTCAAGAGCAAACTTGGAAATCTCCTCCTCAAACCTACAAGTCACTATACATATTTTGGCTTATCACACCAACAACAAGAGCAATACTACTCAACGATTGCTACAACCATCTATGGTTCATTACACATCATCGCTCCTTAGTTACTGGGCCGATATTACCACATAGCATATCTCTACAACTCTCTATGATTCATTACATGACATCACTCATACTACCACATGACATATCTCTACCAACTAGAGGCCTAGGAGCATGAACGATAGCTCTAAAAGCTCCTACCTCTATGATTCATTACATGTCATCGCTCTTTAGTTACCCACAAGATTGGTTAAGTTATGACATAATTTGTCTATGACATAATTTGTCTATGACATAATTTGTCTATAGGGGTACTCTGACCTTGGACCTCCTTTTACTTCCTATAGGCTACGAACCTAAGAGATGGTTCTATGGGATTCTCTTACGTCGACTACAGTTACCAAGCCTGGTAAGTCATGGAAAGTCTTGGAAAATGAGAGAACTACACTCCTTTAGCATAAATAGGATTGCCCTTTCCTTAAGAAAGGGCAAGCAGACAATACAGTAAATCAACTATCACATACTTCCACGTCTTTTCCAAGCTTCCAAGCATTCATCTTGTTACTCCTTGTTTCTGAAAAGTCAGTGAGTTGTTAACCTGACTTACCCCTGAGTTCCCAGACTCAACAGTTGTTGCAACTTGTCTGAACCACTTCACTACATCACACACCTGATTGCTGCGTTGTGGAATAGTCTAAGCTATGACCCTTTGGCTCTGTTTTCTAAGACAGTGTGTTGTCTTAGTAAATTCATCCCTTCCTTGGGTGGCTAGATTCTCACATCTGGTGCACCCACCATTACACTGTGATCTGAGCCAGTGTTTTGTCAATGAGGGGTAGTGGGTATGAGTCTTTTCTGGTGATGGTATTTAGCTTGCGGTAACCAACAGAGAATCATAGTCCACCTCCTGGTTTGCAGACAAAACGGACAGGAGAGGCAAAGGGAGCTTTGCTAGCTTCAATAAATCCTTTCGACAAGTTGTCGTCAATATATTTCTTCACAAGATCAAGTTCCTCCTTTGACATGTTGTAAAGGGGCGCATGTCCTAATTTCGAATCTTGTTCTAAGACGATGTGATGATCTGCATATCTGTGAGGTGGAAGCTTGTCTGCTGCCTGTCTTGAGAACACATCAAGATAATCATAGAACTCTTGTGGGAGGATTGATTTTGGGTCGATCTCTATTGCTTCTTCTTTTGCTTGTTTTTCTAGTATGTCTTTAAATGAAACTGGAAATTCTTCTGCTCCTTTCTGTTTTCGAAGGATATTAAATGGTGCAGCTCCAATCATTGCAATGCTGCAATGGTTCAGCTGTAGAGGTTGGGAGACCGGTTCTTGAATTTTGCTATCAACTTGGGGACATGTAGTTTCTTGAGTATTTGTTGGTGTAGTGTGCTGACAATGACCTTTTGTGAAGATGACTTGGTCATTTACCATGTCAAGCATTACTCCATGCTGCTTCATCCAAGCTTTCCCAAGAATGATAGAGTGTTTCCCAAGAGTAGTAATGAATAGAGGGCATAGACTTTCAACGTGGTCTCCAATTTGTAGTTGAGGGTATATAGCATGTGTGACTATAGGTGCAGCAGCTCCATTAAATCCTTCATGTTCTTTGGTTTTATAAGTTTGATAGGAGAGATGTTTTCAATTTCACAAATTCGTTTTGCGTCAACAGCATTCACAAAGCTTCCAGCTGTTGCACTGCTATCCATTAAGGCTTGCATGACAATTTGATTTCTTCCTATTCTGCAGGTAGCTAGGAACGGAGTGTCATAGTCAAAATGGGACAATGATGAGGCAGAGGAGGCAATTCTTGCTGTAGAACCTCTAGTGACGTCTTCTCTAGAGGCTATTCATTTCCGGACTCATATTGAGCATGCTCTTCTGTAGTAGAGATCTCATTGACTCTAACTTTCTGCTTCTGTGGGCAGTCGCGAGTGCGATGACCACTTCCATGGCAATGGAAGCATTTGCCAAGCTTCATAAGCGATTCTTTCTCAGGATCTTGGTGGGGAGGGCGGTAGAGCTTCTTCTGTAGTGCTACTATTTCAACAGCAGTATTAGCAGTAGGGCTTTGGCCACTCTGCTTCTGGTAGGCGAACAGCTGTGGCTTCATTCTCTTCTCCTTTTCTTGAATTCTCTGTAGGTTTTGGTCCACAAGCATGCATTTCTTCGCGAATTCATGTAGGGTAGTAGTTCCTACTTCAGCAACTAAGGCTTTCTGTAGGCTTTGGTTGATCTTGAATCGGACATTGTCGAGCAAGGTCTCCTCTGAGTAATCCAGCTCTGCTGTGAGTCTCTGAAATTCAGCCCAGAATGTTGTGAAGGTATTCTTGCCCTGGTATAGCTTGCGGTACTCAGTTTGTGTGGTGTGTCTCCTATCGGGGTCGCTAAACACTTTCTCGAGGAGTTGGAGGATTTCTTCTGCTGACTGAAGCATGTTTGGTTGAGGTAATGTAAAGCCTTGGGTTCACATGGCGAACTGTAAGTCCTCCTAGTCTGCTTTAAAGATAACTCATCTGCATCTTGTCATTTGGGAAGTGGTTGATGTTGGCTTCCAGCTTAAGTCGGATCTTCACAACCCAGTCTTCAAAAGCTGGTTCAATCCCATCCGTAAGAATAGGAGGATCCGGAATGTGAGCAGACTGGCGAGGTGCTGCATTTCGAATAGGAGCTGTGTAATGACACAGGGCACCCAGCTCACAGTAATAGCATATGAGAGTGCGAGTCGGAGGCTAAATGGATGCTATCCTATAGGTCTACTACGAAGGATACAAAAAAGATGATGGGGAACCCCCGTCAGTCGATTTTCTCAAGTATCCGAAACCCATCCGACTCGGTTCCAACTCGGTTAGGCCACCCAAATGATCACACGTGACCCCGCGGCTACCCGGAGTCTACTCCCTAGAATGAGAGACGAGAAGGCATCCTTACACTACCCCCCTCCTGAGAGAGTGCTTTGTCCGCAAGGCACGCAGCTAGTATCATGTCCGCAATGCACGCGGCTAGTATCCTGTCCGCAACGTCTCCGAATCATCTCCGTATCGTCTCCGTGAACGGAGCGTTTCTTGTTATCATAATGTTGGCTGGTAATTGCGTCCGGAACAACTTCGTTTGTCGTGCGCATCGGGAAGGTGCTTTGTTTGCCACCGTAGTCATCCCGAGGTGGTATCGCGTTAGGGTCCGTGTGGCATGCGAAACTGGAGTTCGCTTTTGTTGGATCTCACGTTCTTTCTTGGGGTCCGAAACAGTACCGGAAGGTGTCCGCTACCCGTTTGAGTAGAATTTTCGTAAAACGTGAAAGAAGAAGTGGCCACGCTAACCCGATTCGGCGTTCATTGTTGTAAGCCAACATTTGAGTATTCCGCTTCACCCACTTCCTCTTGTTTTTACCTTACAACAACAACGCCAGAAACCCTCCCGCCCGAGACCGGTAAGTGGCCCCTCCCCGTCCATTTGTTTATGATACTGATAGATTGTATAGTATCCTCCAATCCAAAGAACTTTGAAGATGCCGGTTCCCACCCCCTCTGGGGCTCTTACTGTCGCCTTCCGTGTGCTCTGTTTGCGCTGCCTTCGGGCCAAAGCCCGTGGGATCCAGTCCCATGACTGCGTCTGGTCCTCGACCAGTTCAAAGTGTGGGTACTGCACGTCGCAGCACTCGCCTTGCGTCCCGGTAGGTTTTCTTGTGGGGTTCGGAGTTTGGTTTGGTTGGCCGTTGCTGACTTTGGTGAAAGCTGCCCTGGTTCCTTGGGGAAGAGTTTGCGGCCCTCCTGGCCGCCGAAGAGGCCACCCCCCTCATCCCCACCGACGTCGTCGCCGCCGCCACCGAGGCCAATTGGGTGGCCCTCCTGGCCGCCCAGAGCATGCCAAAGTTCCGCTCCGAGGCGGAGCGTGACCTCTACGAGGAGGCACGCGCCACTCGGGCTGCCCTCGAGTTGGGGCTGGCCGTGAGTAGACCCCCTTCCCCTCGTGACTCGGTGTGGTTCTGATGCTGACTCTGGGCAGCAAATTCGGTCGTCGCTGCGCCGTCTCCGGACGGAACAGGAGAGCGTTCCTGCTCTCTTGGGGGAGTTGGTGGCTGCTGTGGGCAAACTGCCCACCGCTGCCGCTCCCGCGGTCGCTCCGACTCGGGGTGATGGAAGGAGGGAGGGGGAGGATGGGGAAGTTGGGGCGGCCTATGGGGCCTAGGTGGGGGAAGACCTCGTGTCGGAGGGGACTCGGGCCTGGCCCTTCGCGTGGGGTGACTTTGACCCTTCGTCTCTCATGGTGGTAGCCGCTTATTGCGACGCCGGTGAGACGTTTGGGAAGGGTGGCTCCCGCAAGGGTTACAGTGGTGAGTGCACCCTGGCTCGGAGGGTATTTTAGTTTAGAGTCACAGACAGCAACGACTCTGTTTCTTCCGCTTTGTCTTTCCCTCCGTGATCGTAGTTTTGTTCCTTTCCTGTCTCCCCTGCCGTAACCCCTCCGAGTAGTTTTTGAGGTGGACCTGGTAAATCTGGGTATTCCGTATGAAACTCTCTGAGTTTCTGGGGAGAGTTCATGAAGTTTGACGCTGGGTACCACTCCGGGTCCGGATCGTATCCGACCCAACTAACCCTGTAGTTGCTTCCGGTGGAGCCTTACGGCGAGGATCTTTCCCACTTCCCATTCCTCTACGCCGTCTATCACTTCACTGCTAGGCTCAGGCGGATCCTGACCAGGTAGGGGATTGTTCGGATCCTTCATGAGTACGTCTGGTGAGAACACATCGTGTATTTGCAAACTGGTAGGTAGTTCCAATCGAAATGCGTGCCCAATCCGTTCCAACACCATATATGGTCCGACCCATTGTTGGCCCAGCTTGCGGCTAGGACGAGAGTTTTTCAAATTTT